GGCGTTGTTCTAGCACCTGACGCAGTGTGAAGATTTGGTCAACACAACCCCTACCAGACCGGAATCCTGCTTGCTGCTCTCGAGTCAGTATTTCACGAGCCACCGTAAGGCGACGAATCACAATTGACGCCAACAGTCTCGTTACAACCGGGGTCAAGCTGATCCCCCTGTGGTTACCACACTCACTACGCGCCCCTTTTTTGAAAATGGGCACTATCACCGATTCTTCCCAGTTGTCTGGGACAGACTCCTTTTCCCAAATGCAACCAAACAGGTCGGACAGGCGCTGACTGAGGACTTCACCCCCGTCTTTGAACAGTGCAGGTGGAAGGTCATCCGGACCGGGAGCTCGGTGGCGCTTGAGAGAACGCAGTCGGTCGTAAACCTCCGAGGCCGTAGGTGGTTCCACGTTCACCGTCCAGGGTTCTACTTCACCTGTGGGCTGTAGATGAGTGCTGGTGGCCGGGGCTGTAGATGAGTGCCGGCTGGTGGCCGGAAAAACAACAAAGTGAAGAAGGTCTGGGCGATGAGGATTGATCCTATGAGCATTTCGCCGGATGATTAGGGAGATAGAACAAGTGGCAGTTATTGGTTTGTTTCTGACTTGAATGGATAAGCCCGCAGTAGAGGGCAACTCGTTTGAGGCTGTGCCGTTCAGTGGGTCAGGCTCTTGTCAGATATGTTTCGTGTCAGAGTTATCTGCAGACGAAAATACCACATATTGAATCTCCTTCCGTAAGCAGTGATTATTCTGTTCAGCTGCCATGTGATCATGTGCAGCTTTTCGGACGCCAGAAAGAATAATTTTATAAACTTGCTGAGTTTGAGTGACAGAAATATTTGTGATTGAAAATGGAAACAACATCAAAAGTTTACCCTGGAGTGTAGTCTGAATCGGTATATATACCAGAACAACAACCAGGAATAAAATATTGTTACTGGAAGCTAACTGCCATACGATTAACCCGGTGGTTCACTGGTATGAGGACGCTAGGTAGCGCAGTGGCGCCGTGGGTCATCTCCTCCCCAAGAATGGCTAATTCTTCAAAGGTTTTGGCTCCAAAAATTCAGCATAACATGCAATTTTTCAAAGAGACAATCATATACCGGGTTATCTACTATGTTCTATTATCTACTATTGTCTGCTATGTTCTATTCAGTACAATTTTTAGTGTATATGGGTTACAAGAATGATTGGACGGTGATGGTGGGAAATGAAGAAAAGGATCAACTGAGGTTCATAAAATACCACGAAGAGCACGATAACCAGTGGATGCAAAATCAAGGGAACGCAAGTATATGCAGAATCACCTTCGACAACGGAAATTTCGGTGTCGATGTATACCCCTGAACAGGGATCGAATCCTCATCTATATTACATCACCTCATTCAAATGCCCTGTGCTGTTTCCCTCGCCAATCATTGAAGATTACCTTAAACCCGGTCTTTTCCGCAAACAATAAAGCACTGGATGACCGGACCACAAAACTTCCCATAGAGGTTTCTCGCGTGCTTCTGAGCACACGCTCCCTACCACGACTGTTGTCCAAGAGACCACACTACTACATTTACATAATAATCGCACTCGTAACAAATGGTACGAACGGCAATATGACAAGCAACTCGCAATCTACAGAACCAAAACCAGTTGCCCGGGACAAGTGGGTGTATCAATGACCGCTTAGCGTGCAAAACAAACAATTTGTGGTTGGTACCAACTATGAGCCAACGCTGGGGCTGTATACCTGTCTAGATGTCAAAAACAAGCATTTTTCAGAGCAAGTGTGACAACGCCGTTTGGGCCATTTTCGTGGATTAACAAAACGGGCTTACAACCTCTATTTAATGCGCTCATCTGTCACAGTATCCCTCTTGGGAATGACTGTGTCCTCCTCTAAAGAGTATAAATTATGGAATCCTGATCGCACTGTCGGACGAATACTGCTTTGACCATTGCAATGATTATTCTCAGGATACCCAGCCAACGAGCATCACTGTTCACTCGCTTAGTTTCGTCGCTGCCTTTTAGTATGGTACAGGTGTCCGATCATCTCATAACACGTGCGTAATCTGACACCACGTACGAACATATTGGCAGTGGGGCGAACCCCATAATACGGACGTACATACTGCCTTAAAGTCCCTGTAACAACTAGACCTAACGTTTGCTCGGCTCCTAAGATATTAAGCCCGGCGCGGGTCACAGTTAATGGTAAAACGGCAATGTGCTTCTAATCTTAAACATTAATGCCAGCCATCTTTGACCGAAGGTACTGCCTCACAATCGAGAAATTCAGGTGCCTCTTATTAACGCTACAGCAATTTGAAATGATTGTATTCCTCTACCTACTTCCAGTGTGATGTTCAAGTAGAACATATAATTGATGAAGACTCCGGGACTATGTTCATCTGATGGACCCAAAGAATAGTGATACTGGTGTAACGGTGGATACTACTGACGAGGCATGCGAGCAGTATGTTTTCTCGTAAGTCCGCTCCGCGTCTATTGAAAAATGAGTCTTATTACGAAATTTGTGGGGTCACTTTGTAGCATTTGTTTGCATTTGAGAAATAGTCAATGAAAAAGTCAAGGAAAGTTCAGGAAGACGCGTTCGAGAAGAAGACAAATACTCAGTTCTTATAAATGAGATACATATGAGAGTTTTGCTTCTCTCTCCAACAGCCTGTTACGGTTCAATTAGTGTTTTCCAATAAACGGCTCCACCCGAAGGCATTCTTCCTTTCAATTGGTACCGTGACCGGGATAAGTATGAAGATGAAGTTGAGTGTACCTGATGCATCTGGCACGGGAATTGGCCGAGACGCCACTGGCCACGTTCCAGTCGCAGAACAGGGAGGATTCAACAGTGAAGGTCCTAAAGCACAAAGTAGAACAACTCGCCAAACAGCTTGCAGCCTGATAACTGGGCTCGAAAATGAACACTATGTATTAAAATGCCTGGAATGACAGTATGCCCCAAGCATTTCACAGACTCACGAGTATACTAGTCACTGACGTGTAACCTAGTAAACTGGTGGAGTGAGACCTTCTCCCAGGGGCCACGAACAACGTAATCAACGTTCTCGCGAAAATAACTGATAGTTCGATGACTGGAGGTTTCAAGATGAGCTCGGCTACATCCTAAACCGTAGATAGAACTCAGCTGATACGCTTTACAAAAGACGAATATGGTATGCTAACTTGCAAAAAACCGACCTCATCAAAAGTTAGCTAAGTTTTCGAGGTAGTTCATAATTTTGAAGGAACTTCCATGTGTTTGAACTGCACAGTGTTTTCGCCGTTTAAAAGGCTGCACTTAAGTCAACAAAATATCCAACTTAGGGAATTCAGGGAAATACATGCTGCAAAATGTAGTGGTTCATCGGAAGCTGGAGAAGACGATGGTCTAGAAGCCTGCGTAAGACTGAAAGTGCTGTACTGCTGCTGCTGAAGCCGACGCCAAATGCTATACATACATAGATTGATTAGCAAACACACTCCTAAGTTGTGCGAATGGATCCGTGGTCATCGGTATAAGCTGCTCAGTTTAGCGTCAGGCCTTAAATCCACTACATTTACCACGAGTCATCGTATTTTGGAGATTAGATGGAAGTCACTGAGTGAGTGTGCCCAAAAAGATGCCCCCGACATCATCATCGACAGCATGACATCAGTGTTCAACACCGATGCTTCGCTGCGGTACAACCATGATTCGCTTGAGAGCCTTATTGTTGAGAGAAGAATGAAGGTGGACGGGGAAGGGACTTAGTGCTAGCTTACGACAATCACTCCGAGGTGCCTACACCTCCAAACACTCAGTCAGGCGATCTGGATAGAAACTGACAAGATCGCCACTGACGTCGGTTAGATCACGCGGTCCCCATTCTTTAAGCCGAGTAGCATCGACAGCACCCAAACGTTTCGTGATTTCTTTCATACCCCTATGTCAGGTCAAGGGTTGGCCACGCCCCTGCTTCCAACTCTGAGTTGGGCATGGAAAACAGCACTCTCTTCGGCAAACGATGGCTAAGCATACGCAACACGTGTCCCAACCAACGCAGCTTGTGGTGTTGGACACATTATGAAGTCGAAGTACCCACTGCACAACCGAAAACGCGCTTTCTAATGGCCTCATTGAGGATTCGCCTATCCACACGAGCAATAGTTCTGAGACAACGATTGTCCAACCCCCGAAGACGTTTCAGTCCCGCTGCTCGAATAGGCCAAGTCTCACAGCTATACAACAAAACAGCCTGCACTGTCGCTTGTTGTACACGTCCTTTGAAATTCAGGGATACACCACTTTGACGCCATAGGTGTTTCAAGTTAGCAAACGCGACCCGAGCATTGAAGATTCGTGCATTGACCTGATCCGTCAAACTACAGTTGGAACTAATACAACTTCCAAGATACGTAAAACGCTCCACAACTTCGAGAACTGGATTGTAAGTGGCGCGTTCAGTGACTACATTTCCAGGAACATGGCCTTACAATTTGCGGGTGCAAAGTGCATACGAACGAACAACGTGCACCTTTTCGAAGACAGGAACGATATCACATGCATATTCCAGATCGGCAAGGTCCTCGTCACAGATTTTTTGGACACTGGGGTTTTGGAGGCCTTCCAGTGTTCGTCTCATGATTTCATCGATCACGGAGTTAAACAGGAATAGCGAGAGTAAGTATCCCTGACGGACACCAGTTTTACACGGAAGCTTTTGGAGAGCTCGCCGTATACTCACACACGTCCGGAAGTATGGGAACTCCCGGGGCATTGCTTGGTGGGCAAGCCTGTCAAGCAGAAAGAGCGGTCAAAAGCGCCTTGGAAATCCAGGAACACTAGAATTGTGGGTCGCTTGTGCGTATGACGAAGTGCAAAGATTTGGTCAACACAACCCCTACCAGGCCGGAATCCCGCTTGCTGCTTTCGAGTCAGTGTCTCACGAGCCACCGTAAGGCGACCAAGCACAATTGATACCAACAGTCTCGTTACGACCGGGGTCAAGCTGATCCCTCTGTGGTTCCCACACTCACTACGTGCCCCTTTTTTTCTAGAATGGGCACTATCACCGACTCTCCCCAGTTGTCTGGGACAGACTCCTTTCACCAAATGCAAGCAAACAGATCAGACAAGCGCTGACTGAGGACTTCACCCCCATCTTTGAACAATGTGGGTGAGAGGTCATCCGGACCAGCAGCTCGCTGGCGCTTGAGAGAACATATGTAGTCATAAACGTCCGAGGCCGTAGTCGGTTCTACGTTCATCGTACAAAGTTCTACGTCACCTGTGGGTTCCAGATGGGTGCCGGTTGGTGACCAACGGTGGAGTTCTTGTCTATTCGAGATAGTCATTTCCCATCCTTGATGGTTTCACTCACAGTAAATTCCGGAGGCCCGTGGTACGGGCGTTGGGTGAACACACATCACTGTAGGCCGTCGCTTCCATGAAATGCCTGAACACTAAACATCGGCTAGCCTTTCTAACCCGGATGCTTAACAGCTTCTTTACTCCATTTCGATGGAGGTTGATGGTCTCAGTAAGCTTCGAGCATTCTGGGATTCTTTTCATGGAGGCTGGTCCTTACCTTGGTGTGACGGATTGTGTACCTCCGCGGCCCATTGTGCTGCACTCGAAGGTGTCCGCGCGACACCCGCAGTCTCCCATTCCAATGGCCAATGATTACAGATATGACGAACACAGTCTCCTGATCCTTCACGTTGGAAGTCGGAACTCGTTCTGTAAAAATTGAAATGCATTTGCACTTCCCGCTAAACACCGCTGCGTTGCAGATAAAAGCTTGGCAGGTGTGGTTTCAGTTGCCAAGCCCCTGTACAACCAAACGTACAAATGTACAAACTCATGCCACATCGGCCGTCCCATGGTACCAACAGCCAGGTCGCACTACTTGCTGCATACAGTAGGACGGTGTCATGACTATATAACCCATACATTTGCATAACCCATTAACTCGTGATTCTCACTCTATTTTCAGCTCATGTACTACAGTTATTAGACGATTAAAGCGTACATTACGTCTTCCTATTCTGTCTCCTTTCTAATCCCGTCCTGGAACTACTCGACTCTCGCAACAATTTAATCGTCTAATAAAAACGAAATGGATCATATTCTCCGACCTACGGTTTTTGATGCCGATCCTCACTCATCAGATGGCATGAAACGATGGACTCATTGGTTCCGTACTTTCAAAGCTTACATTAACTCAGTCAAACCCGAAGGTCTAAATAAATTGGAAACTCTCATTCGTCACATCGACCATACAGTGTATGACTTCATCGCAGAATGCAGCGACTACGATTCTGCGATAACCTTGCTGGAAAAACTTTACATCCGCCCGAAAAATATCGTGTATGCACGCCATCTTTTAGCCACATACAAACAAGAACCTGGTCAGGATGTCGACCAATTCGTTCAAAAACTGAAATCGCTTGCTAAAGACTGTGAATTCAAAGCAGTATCTGCTGTGGAACATACAAACGAAGCAGTTCGGGATGCTCTGATAACCGGATTGCAGTCGAATACCATTCGGGAGAAACTGCTAACGTGGCATGAATTGGACCTTGACAAAGCCCATGAAGCCGCGCGAGCTCTCGAACTTGCACAAAAACAGTCACAATCATACGTATACAGACAACCCGTTACTTGTTCGGTATCTACTCCTTTACCCATTGTTAATTCCGAAACAACAGTTTCGGCCGCTACACAACAAACATGTTACTTTTGTGGCAACCCCAAGCACCCTCGTTATAAGTGTCCCGCTAAAGAATCAGTGTGCAAGAGTTGTGGAAAAATTGGACATTTTCAACGTGTCTGTAGGTCCAAAGCCTCGAAATATCACGCGGGTTCAGCTCAGGACTCCTCAATCTCCTCGCTATTTTGTGCTGCTGCTCCCAATTGCCTATCCAAAACTACAACAGATATTTTGGTCAACGGCGTTGTTGTCCGAGCTCTCATTGATACCGGCAGCTCCAGAAGTTTCGTTTCTTCATCAATCCTGCAAACTCATAACTGGGAGCTATTTCCGTACGACTCTGTGATAACAATGGCGTCGACGATACATTCATGTTCCACCAAAGGTTATTGCCTTGTGTCCATTCAGTACAAGGATGCTATATACGAACGTTTCAGACTTTGTGTATTACCGAACCTTTGTGCAGACGTCCTTCTCGGACATGACTTTCTGGGGTTACATGATAAAGTCGAAATTCCATTCGGTGGTCAACGGGGTACCCTAACTGTATGTGGCGTAACATCCGCAAAACTGGAATCTCCATCCTTATTCACCAATCTTGCTCCAAATTACAAACCGATCGCCACAAAATCTCGTCGTCATACACCGGAAGATGAACAATTCATACAAACGGAAGTAGACCAAATGCTTACCGATGGCATAATCGAACCATCAAATTCTCCGTGGAGAGCACAAGTGCTCGTTACCCGCAATGCAAATCACAAGAGACGCATGGTGATAGACTACAGCCAGACAATCAATCGCTTCACCTACCTTGACGCTTATCCTTTACCAAGGCTCGACCAAATGATTGAAACCATCGCACGCTACACTGTCTACAGCACACTGGATCTCCAGAGTGCATATCATCAGGTTCCAATAATCGAGTCAGACAAGCCATTCACAGCGTTCGAAGCTGGGGGGAACCTATACCAGTTTCGGCGCATTCCTTTTGGAGTGACAAACGGGGTCGCGTGTTTTCAGCGAACGCTGAACAATATAATCAAAGCCGAACAGGTAAAAGACACATTCGCTTATATCGATAACGTCACTATATGCGGCAAAACGAGAGATGAACATGACCGTAATCTTAGGCATTTTCTCGATGTCGCAAAAACATACAATATTACTTTGAACGATACGAAAAGCAGCTTCGCAACTGAAGAGATTACTCTCTTAGGTTACAAGGTCTCCAAAGGTATTATAAGACCTGACCCAGAACGCATGCGCCCCATAAGAGAACTCCCACTTCCAGAGAACGGGAAATCGCAGCAAAGAGCCGTTGGTTTGTTTGCCTACTATTCACAGTGGATACCGGCGTTCTCTGACAAAATTCATCCATTGGTTAAAAACAAAATATTTCCGCTCCCGGAGAATGCCCGAACAGCATTTGAGAACCTTAAACACGAACTAGAAAATGCGATGGTAGTTACTGTCGACTACAATATTCCTCTCGTTGTTGAAACTGATGCGTCCGACATCGCTATTGGTGCATCCCTGAGCCAGGGTAGCCGGCCGGTCGCCTTTTTCTCCAGAACCTTGACTGCAAGCGAGAAAAATCATTCTGCTGTTGAAAAAGAAGCATATGCTATAGTTGAAGCGATCCGCAAATGGCGCCACTATCTCCTCGGGAGACATTTTAAATTGATTACGGATCAACGTTCGGTAGCCTTTATGTATGGGAACCAACAGAAAAGTAAAATAAAGAACGACAAGATTGAACGGTGGAAAATCGAGTTGGCAGGGTACAACTACGACGTCGTCTATAGACCTGGAACAGATAACCGCGTTGCTGATACCCTATCTCGTAACCTTTGTGCCAACATTACTGGGACGGAAAAACTTGAAGAGCTTCACAACATATTATGCCATCCCGGGGTCACGAGATTTGCACATTTTGTTCGTTCTAAGAATCTTCCTTTTTCAGTCAGCGATATCCGACGTGTGGTGTCCAACTGTTCCACTTGCTCCGAGCTCAAACCAAAATTTTGTGACACCTTTCGTGGCCAGCTTATCAAAGCCACACAACCGTTCGAACGCCTTAGTATCGACTTTACAGGCCCACTTCCCTCAAACACTCGTAACAGACGGGTGAGTGGAAACAGGTCACTGCTGACGCCTCCCTTCTTCCTCTTTCACACGTTTTCTTCCCACTCCCCCCAACTTCGTAAATAACTCTCTTCTTGTG